GGTGTGTTGATTTTGTTTTAATGCTAAAACAAATTTCGCTTTTTTCCCTTTTTCCGGCTTAATGCCACAAGCCGATTTCCGCGGTTGTTTCTGGCATTTGTTGGGGTTTTTCTTGCTCTTCTGCGTATTAATTTTAATTACAAACTTCGACTGAGGCTGGCTGAATAATTTAACACTTTCTTGCACATTTTTCGCCAAAATTCCTGAGCTCCCGAAATCGGGGTATTAACTCTTTAATCAAGGTGTGTTGTCGCTATAAACCAACATTTTCATTTCCGCTCTAGCTGGACCCTAAACAAAAACAAACAAACAAAAGTTTCGCCTTGTTGTTTTTAGTTCTTGGCTTTTGTCGCCTTATCGCCCGGCCTAAAAGTTTTGCACAACTTGCACGACCAACCCGGCGTATGAGTAATTTTTTTGTTTGATTATCATATTTCTCACTCAGAGGGAAGCAGGAAAAGCCAAACAAAAGGCCTAAACACACTTTTACCTTCCCTTCGCCAGCAAATAAATGGAAAAAGGTTGACACTGTTCTTCTTCTGTTTATTTTTTGCACTCAAGTTCAAGTTTTCCGGGCAAGAGCAAGAACAGAAATATGCACAGCTATGAACATTAGTTTCAATTTGGAAAAAAGTGTGTGTGTGCTTTGTAGGTCTCTCTGGCTTACCTTGCAGCCCCTGCCCCTAACCTTTCACCTTGTCTGTGTGTGTGTGTTTGTAAGAGCTTGTCGCCCCTGGTAAGTATGCAACACTTTTACTTTTTTCCAACGTACTCCGGGGCGTGCGAAAACAAGAAACGAACAAAAGCTGCTTAAAAACACCAAACCATAACAATGTAAAGTGTTGTAGGAGCTGTCGAAAATATTTTACACCTTTTGCTCTGCGACTCGCAATCTATGGGTTGTTTTGAGGGATGCGGACCTTATCTGGGGCTACCCGAAAAATATACACCGAAAGCTGAAGCACAAGCAACAAGGTAAACATTTTGCGGTAATTAAGAAAAATTACCTCTGCCCAGCAGAGGAAAAAAAAACCGAAAAACCAAAAAAGGAAAACAAGAAAAGCACAACAACAAAGCCCATAAAGTAGCCCTGGCCAAAAGCCGAACACACACACACAGACACTCACACAGAGACAGACAAAGTTGGCCAGAACGAAAAGACAGTTGAAGCGTCAGCTGTGGGAAACCCTCGTTCAGTTTTCCCAAACCCCCGCATTTTCACCCCTGTTCTTGGCTCTTTCACCATTTTCTAGTGGCTGCGACTTTTTGGTGTTAACTTTAAATTAGCAGCAAAGTGGAAAGTGTTGTCGGTTGGCTTTTAAAATGTTTTGCGGTGTATTTTATTTATCATGAAGTAGATCTGGTGTGGCAATTGCCAGGCCCGCCCACCTTTTCGCTGCCCACCTTGTCTCGGCTGTCATTTGTCTGTCTTGGCCATGTTATAAAATAATGTGTAAATGTCCTCTTGCTTCTTTTTCATTTATTCCACCACTCTTCTTCTTTGTTTCTCTACTGTTTTTTTTTGTTTAATTTACTTAATGTCCTGCCTGGGTCCTTTTATGATGCCTTCTTGGGGACTATTTTTTCGCTTTTTTGTCCTCTGCTGTTCATCTTATTTTTTGTTGCTGTTGTTGTTTTGGGCTCATTTACCTTGAGAGTTGGCCCCAGCTTTATCATTAATGTGTGTGCTCAGTTCCTTAATTAGTGACGAGGAAGGTCCAAAAATATCGAGTAATAAAAAACAAAAGTTTCGAAACGAAGAAACAAAAGGTGGGAAGATATGCTAATTTATGCACTTGATAAATATTTTATGGAATTGCAAGACACATTTCCTCAGGAGAAAATTTGGTGGAAAACGAAAATTAATACTAAGATTAGAAAGTTTTTATTAGACCACTTAATGGGGGCCAAGTCAATTAAGATAATATGGTTTTTAGTGATGTTTTAATGATTTTTGAAAACTAACTAACACAATTTGCAATGCCTCAGGTGAGGTGCTAACTCATTTTCTAGTGAAAATTAAATAACAGTTCAGATCATCATCTCCACGTCACCACTAAATGACAATTATCCTAAATTGCTGGCAAATTGAATTAATTAGGATTTTACACATTCCGCTTGAGAGTTAAGTTTTTAACTTGAATTTGAATCCTTATTTCGGTTTCGCTCTTTGCCACATTGTCTCCCAAGGAAATTTAATTAAGGCAAGCGCAACTAAGCGCACCACTTTACCGCTCGAGTCAAAAACGTATACGTAATTTCATTAACAATTATGACCCAAGCGTTAGGGTTGCGCATCTTACATCATATAACCCAAGGTTCGAGGGCAGGAGGACCGAAAGATTGGATTGATGTGTGCCACTTGACATGCCAAGAAGTTGAAGGAGCAACACATATAACTTGGATGGAAAGACATCGTAAAAAAAGATTCGAGACGCTTACCGCTCATTTTTGGGGTGGCATCCCAGCTAACTGTCTGTGGCAGCTCCTTCGCTGTTGTGCTAATAAAATCAAAACTGATTACCACATCATCTTCAACGAGCTGAGCGGAACAGAGGACCCCAGCACGGAGCAGAGCACAGCGTAACGCTTGGAATCGAAGCATGCATATCATATTACTCATACGCCACGTTATACAATTTACTTACAACGTCAACGAGCAGAACGTTGACAGCGAACCAAGACGAGACGAGACGAGATGAGATGGGATGAGAAGCGGGAAGCTTTGGTAGTTGTGGCCCAGATGAAGACAAATAGATGGCAACATCGTGGAGGACATATCCTTGCCTACACTAAAGCGAAATATCACCAGAGTTTCTTGTACATAAATACATATCATTTTAACAAATAATTTTTAAAATCAGATCAGATATATTTTAGAATAATATAATAAAAAAAGCCATAAAGTTTAAAGGGAGATATATTTAAGTATCATTTGAAGTAAATGTTATTAATCCAAATATTAAAATGATTTTTATTGAATAAATATTTAAAATATCCTTTTTTTTAGAATGATATTTCTCTAAATTTTTTTTTTTTTTCCAGTAATATATGACAAAGTTACTTAAATAAAAATATATTATTTGGGGACCGCGAAGTAATATTTTCCGTGTAACCCGACATATGTGTAAGTGTGTGTGTCTGCGTGCAGGATGTGCGTGCCTGGATGAGTGCGCAAAAATGGCAACGGCAAAGTGCAAAAGCCAAGAGCCAAGAGCAAAAACAATTAATTGAGTGGGCGGCAAGCGACACCAGAGTGCAGCGAAAGATAAATCGTTTTGCAATAGCGCTATAATTTAATCAAATTTGTCACTTTTGCAATTGAGCAAGTCGCGAGGCGAAAGGAGACTGAAACTCCAGTTGCCGCTCTGTTGGAATTTATGAATGGCATTTCAGGGAGCGCATCTAGACAAAAGGTGAGCTCTGGTGAGCACTTGCACCTCCACCTGAACCTGAACCTGTACCTTTCCACCTCCGTGGGTAACTCAATCTTCGCTTCATGGGTGGCAAGTGCGTGCTCGGGCATCGCGTTCGCACTTTGTAAATTCAATTTGAAATGCGCTTGATGCGCACAAAGGCAGGTACAAGCCCACCTAGTGCACCTTATGCTCACATAGGTAGAACCCCCTACCCCCTCCTCTTACCCACTCACCTGCGATACCCTACAAGTGCCACCCACATGGACGAGTGGGGTGTGTTTTTCACTGTCGCTGATGGCCAAACAAATGCCAGCTAGCTAAGCGGTTTGTCAGCGCAATGGGGGTCAGCAAAAAGGGGGGCGCACGATAAACGTCATTGATGACGACCCAGCAAGCAGGTGACCCCTAACCCCCTAACCCCTGAAAAACCCCATACATACATACAAACTCGGCGATTAGGTGAATCGATTAACCGTTCTCGTAATTGAATACAAGCGCACCAGCCGCACGCACTTATTTTGCTGCAGTGTACGCAATTTGTTGTTGCCATTACCCGTGGAATGGTCGCTAAAACTGCCAACAAATTCTCAGTTACGCTCTCACGTACATGCCACTCACACAGCTGCAAGTGCAAACACACACACACATACAGATACAATCAGCTCGAGCACCTTTCACAGAATGCTCGAACCAATTTCAACAAATCTAAACCCCCCCTTGCACTGAGAAAAATACGAAAAGTCCGGAGTCCCAATGCTAAGAACTATTTTTTCAAGTTTTTAAAATCCTTATAATTGACTGTATCATAAAAGGTCATAATTCTTGCCGTTAAAATGTATAATATTCATTATTTTTGTTTGTTAATAATAAAATGTTTAATAAATAATTTTTAAGATAAATATCTTTATGTAAGTTACATCTTTAAAAAAATTTGTACCATACATATTGGTTGGAAATATTTTTACTTTTTTTGCTTCGTGTACCCCACCACTGCAATGTTAAACATTTTATCAACGCAGAAAAAAAGAAGGTAGAGCAAAAAACTCGTTCGAATTTTTAAACAAAAATCCAAAAACGTTGGCCATAAACGAACAGGTAACCAAACCAGGCATCCAGCCTGCGGGAAAACGGCGGGGGAAAGTGAGAAGTGTGGGAGGGGGTCGTTCGAGGGGTTGTGGATGTTATTTTTCAAACATCAAATGTTCTGGCAACGTTGACGTCAACACGGGGTCCAAGGCAAAAGTGACGCTACTTTCAGCTGTTTGTGCTGGCTTCCTTCCTCTCCGTCCAACGGTTCCCAATTGGCTGCATTTCCCAGGTCAGCCATCTGCCACGCCCCCCCTTTCCACGCCCCTCCTTTAACGCCCGACCCCATCATAGTTGCCACTGGCGTTTCGCCTGACCCGGCCATTTATTGCAATATCAAAATGTTTCCTTTCCGGCGTTGAAAATGATTGAAAAATATTCGCTGTTCCACAGTTCCGCTCTTTAAAGTTTACAAAACAATTTTGTTTGATTTCTGCATTACAGGTGATCCGGTAATTTTTACTAAACGCTTTTCTTTGTTTTCCCCTTTTGCAGGTTATCCTACAAGGAATAATGCTCAGGCTTTTGCTGGTTCATATAATAACGATATGTGTGCTAATAACTTATGTTAAGTCTGGTGTGCCAATTGGTAAGTTGCTTAAAAGTTGTTTAATTTTATTTTTTAGTTTATATAATTTTTCCAACTTTAAGGAACCGGCGGACCTTCAATTATATTGGAGAGCAAAGATGCTCTATTAACCTGCGTAGTCTCAGATAATTCCTCGAACAACACAGTAATATGGAAGAAGGGTGACGAGATCCTGACCGCCGGCACAGTGCGGGTAACCAAGGATCATCGGGTGCGAATCCTGCACGATGAGAGTGAGCTTAACAAATCCTTTAATGTCCTCTCAAGTCGCTTAACTAAATGTTTGGTTTGCCATTAGATCCCAAGGGAAAGAACCTGGAGACGGGGGGAGAGGTTTGGGTGCTTTTGATTAAGAGCCTCAAGCCCAGCGATTCGGGGGCGTACATATGCGAACTCAACTCGGATCCCGTGCTTCGCAGCATTCACATACTAACGGGTAAGTTCCGAAACCCAAATAATTACCCAAGGGAAAAGATTAAACAAAGGGGTTTATTTGTCCTTTGAATAATATCTTCATATTTTAAGCAACCGGATGCAAAAGACTAAACATTTTTTTTATTTCATTATAAATTAAACTACATTTTTGATACATATTGAATTAACTTTTTTATATAAATACGATTCAAATAATAACAATATACTGTACAAAATAATCTAAATATGTAGGAGAATTTCTTAAGAAATATACAAAAATCTTAATCGGTCTTAACATGGTTGTTTAGTTATCTATGTTGCTCAAAAAATATCGTATTTATTTAAAAAATACCTAAACATACAAAAAATGTCGTAATTATTTTTAAAATACCTAAACTAATAAAAATTATTCCCCCTGATTTTCTATAAAAAAATAAAAACATTGTTCGCTTAAAAAACACATTTGTGTTTGAGTAAATACAACTTTCTAAATGAACGATTTTTTTTTTTAAATATAAACAACCATTGAATTAAATTTATAAAATTCGAGATAAAAATTTGTTTAAGTAAACATTTTTATTTGTAGCAATAATTTGTTTATTTTTGCGAATTCAATCTTTAACTGACCCTTATTGTTCCTGTGCCTTTACCAACTTAATTTCACGCCTTAACCCCTGACAGTCAAGGAGCTGCATTCGTCGACGGGTGGCCCGGGAAATTCCACGGACACGTCGACCGCGGAGTCGAGTGATGTGTTCCTGCTGCCGCCGCCGCTGGATGCGCAGGATAATCGCAGCTTTTGGAGGCCCAGCCAAGTGCCACCGCTGGTCACCCACGACTTCACCGAGTGTTGCGAGCGGGCCAATGTCTCCACCCAGTGCATGGGATTCTGCAATGTGCACAACATCCTCGACGGCACCACGGGCATCGATCCGGAGGCCTGCGAACGGGACTTCCCCGGCATTGTGCGCTGCATGGCCGATGGCCGCAACCATGTGCCCTGCTGCGTGGACAAGCAGATTCCGGACCTCTGTCAGGACATGTGCCGCGGCGAGTACACTCCCTTCACGGACAAGCTGAAGACCCGCGTTTCCTGCGTTCAGCACACGCTGAGTGGGCTGCAGTGCATCTTGAAGGGTGTGCAGTTGATACCCAGCTCGCCCACCTTCGTGACGATCGAGAATGTCAGCGAGACGAGTGTTAGTGTGGGCTGGACTGCTCCCGACAAGCTGGCGGACCGGGTGACCGGTTACACCATCAACCTGACTACTCTGCACAGCTTCGATGAGGATGAGTTGAGTGGCGAGATTGTTCACCGAACGGCGGCCGATGTCCCGGAATCTATTAGTCTTTACACAGTGCCCGCGAATCAAACTCAATTGGTACTCAACAACCTCAGCCCCCTGACCATGTACGCCGTAATTGTTACGGCTACCAATGAATTCGGATCGAGTTTGCCCACCGAGCGGCTGAGATTCTTCACCCACACCAGCGCTTCGGCGGCGGAATCGCAGGCGGGAACAACGGACAAGCAGGCGATGCCCCAACTTCCGGACACCCGACAATGTTGCGAGGACAACGGCATGACCCATCGCATGTGTCTGGACAAGATGTGCGATCCGCAGAAGACCGATCAGGCCAACTTGCCCGATTTTATGGTCTGCGCCCCCTGGTCGAATATCACCTTCAACTGTCTGGCCAACAATATCGACCATACGCCCTGTTGTCGCGCCAGGGGAATTCCCGCGGCTTGCTTTCCCCTCTGTGCTGGCAAGCTGACCTCACTGGACTTTAGTTTGTTCAAGTAAGTTGGAAAGGGTGTAGGAAAATTTTATTAGTTTGTATAAAAACAATATAAAAACTTAGTAGACCCATTTATGTTTATGTTTAAATCCACGCTTTTAACATTTAAAAATATTGCTTACAGTTGATAGCACTATTACCAACTAACTTTATTCTTGGTTATTTACTATAAAAAGTCATTAAGTAAATAATATTTTACAAAAGTAATATTTCAAGAATGAAAATAATTTAAGAATGAATAATAAGAATGAATTCTTCGAATTAAATAACCAAAAATAAAGTTAGTAGTAAAGTAAAATATTAAAAAAAAAAATCAAAATTCAGTCTCGAAATTGAATGTTATAGTATTACAGTAACTTAGTAACCATGTAGCTTTCCCAGTAATTCGTAGTCCCTTTTTTCAATTGTTTCATATTTCATCCATTGTATTGCTACTTCTCGTAAGGACTCTCAAATTTGAATCGATAATCATCAATGAGCTGCTCATTCCACTGTTAATAGCTTACCGAGCCCATCCTTCGCCATCCTCCTTGTCTGGCCAACCCATAGGCCGTTAAGCTCTAATATCAATCCCATGCCCATTTCTATGCCCATTCCCATACTCATATTCCCATTCCCACAATTCCGCACCCTTAGCCAGCGCCCAAGCACAATGCTACTTGCTAATGACTCCGCAGGATGAGTTTTTATGCCGAATGCCAATTACGGAGCTCTGTCCTCCTCTCCCCGCTCTCCGGTTATTTGCAGATGCCTGCGCTTCATGTCCGAGTACAACAGCTGTCTGTTCCAGGGCTACGGCGTGCTGGCCGATCCGCCGTCAAAGCTCCGGACGGTGGCCAAGACGGACAGCTTCGTGATTTTGGACTGGAACAAGCCGAAGCGCCTGGCCGACACCGTCAGCACATATCACGTCAAGTTCCGACGGCTGGGAGTGGGTGATGACTATCTGACCGTGGAGAAGGTATTACACTGAGAACTATGACGAGAAACACGTTCTAAAATCAAGCAGCTAGAATAAAAAAATTAAATGGTTTTCATAACATTTAGGTTCAGGTTTTTAAAGTATTTTACAAAATAATAACCAATAGTTACGAACCAAAATATATTAAAATTTGTGTAACCTGAAATAATGATCCTAATTCCCAAATAATGTAAAAATATTTTTTTGTCGATTTACATACTGTGTTTTTTAAAAAATAAGCTTACATATTTTCAAAAATTGTAAGTCTGAATTAAACAAAAAAAATTCCTAAATTAGAAGCTCTTAATGATGTTAGAACGGGATTTTTCTCCAAGTGCAGTAATCTGCTGCCCCCTCTGCCCACTTCCCCGAATTGTTTGGCTAATTCATTAAGCTTTGCAGCGCCAGCCGCCGCTGATTCTCGAGGGTCTGGAGTCGGACATCTACTACGAGTTCTATGTGGTCTCGATAAACGCGTACGGCAAGAGCGAGGCCTCCCCGCGCCTGATCACCCGGACATTGGCGGCGGAGCCGGTCCAGCAGACGACCGCCAGATACAACATGACGACCTGCTGCCAGGCCTCGGGACTATTGCCCCAGTGCGCCCCCCTGTGCTCCTACAACATCCGACTGTCCGATATCGAGCGACTGGGTCCGGCTTGCCGAGCGCAAATGCGTAAGTAACATCTGGATTTTCAGTGTGCTTCTCTTTTTTTCGGGGGCTTTTGGCTGGTTTCCCGGACCAAACGATATCTCCCTTGGAAAACACTAATTAGCGGCAGGATAGAGAAGCCATTGTGTCCCGTGGACTTTTGTTAATTTAATGAGCTCATTTTGCATTTTTCGTTTCGTCTGCCTGCGATGCAATTTCGAATATTAAGTGACGCTCCCTGTCCATTCGGGCATAATGAATTTTGTACTTATGCAAATCAATTTTTAGTTAATTAGACGCACACAATCCCCGGAAAACGGTCGAGAGGGATGTTTGATGTTGCTAAATGCATGGGAATTTGGCAAAATGGTTATTCCATCGGGTTCTGTTGGCAGGAGATTGCCAGTGTTTGCCTGGGCTTATGTAATTTTAGAGGAGTTGCTGTGTTTGGCTTTGCTTCGGTCAGTGTAAACAAAGCTTTTCATAACAGATACTGGAGCTCTGTTTATTTCCCATAAAATTTAATAGTTAATGCTGATAACTGTATTTTCTTGGCTACTCGAATGTCTTTCAGGCCTTGTAGGTATTTATTTAAACCTTTAAGAAAGTAATTCCAAGTCGTGCTACTTAAACATGTATCTATACTTAAAAGCGTATTTAACAACAATTAACAGTTCCGAAAATATCACGTTAAATGTTTAAATGGAGAAAATAACCATAATAGCCATAATTAGTCGAATAAATCTTATCTTTTAAAGAAAATATTTTATACATTTTTATTACAAAAGAAAACCATTATTGATTTTTGTGCAATCAGAGATCTAAGGAGCTAAATGTATGATTTCCTGGAATTTTACATCGTGCGCCTTTTATATTCCGCCGAAAAACACTCAAAACCAAAAATTCCCGAGTCATTCTCAATCAAAAAATGAAATCTTATTCAATGCCCGCAGTGAGTAGGCAGAATTTCACCCCAATTTAGCCGTCACCTAGTCAATGATAGGAAATCTTTCGGTTAATTTCCTGTAAATTGCTGCCAAGTTGCCGACTCACGACAGAGATCCTTTAAATTACCATCTCAACTGGAGTGGCAAGCGGGGCGTGAGAATTGATGAGTTCATGTCACAAATTGTGCCATAACAGAGCACAATGAGCCGTATCTCGGGCCGGGGAAGTTTATGCAAATTCTGCCACAATATTAACCCATCTTGTGCTCTAATCCTCAGCCATCCTGGCCCGTTGTGCAGCCGGAGGACGAGATCACAGTCCGTGCTGCAGTCGCCGCGGAGTCATTAACGCCTGCATGCCCCTCTGCCGCGGCGTCATGCCGCTCGCACTGACCACCAAATCGGCATCAGCCTCGGCGGCAGCAGCGGCAACATCATCATCATCCGCAGCAGCAACATCTGCAGCTGCCACCAGCAACAGCAATGCGGCAGCAGCAACATCATCATCGTCGTCCTCATCGGGAACGTCAAGCAATGTGCCCGATTGTTTATCATATGCCGGCAACATTCTGCAGTGTTTCGAGGAAGGTGAGTAGTTACCAAGTCCCTGCCTTCCGTCCACATCCCGGACTTTGTCCATTCGAGTTCCCAGTGTTGAGATTGCATGGCGAGCTGTGACTGCCAGTGAATGGAATCGGCTCATTTGAATGTATCCACTCTTAATTAAGCCTGTTGCATGAAAATTGGATTCACCAGTGATTCAAAGACCAGAAAATCCCAGATCGATAGAGGATTTTGTACTTTAACTATTAAATTAGCTAAAAGTCAATCTGCCAAAAATGGTCTGACCATTAAATGAAATCTAAAATCATGCCAATATTTAACTTTTAAAATTTAGTAAATTAATTAAATAAAATATGTAGGTTGTTCATTTTTTTAGGAGATTTCAATCAGAAATTAAGATTGAAAACCACAAAGGAAAATAATTTTTTTTTAAATTTATTTTCATTTGAGTGAAATGAAAGTGATATGAAAGTTAGAAGCAATATTTGTCTTATTTTTAATCCCTGTTGCTTAGTATATATTTAATGCAATATAGAAATGCCCATTACAAAAGTTAGAGAAAGTTTTAGGGCCATACTAGATTATTTGCAATTTTCCAAATGATAATAATTCGTAATTATACCGTCTAACAAGTTCCCCCGAATCACTGGAAGTCACAGTTATGTAACTATGTAGCCAGCATCCCACAGCCCAGGCAAACTGCAAAACTGGTCACACCCTGTGGTGTATCCATCTGTGGGTCTTTGTCGATGGGTTGCCGCTGGCCTCGCCGGGCTTGTGTTTGCAGCTAATTCTGTTTGTTTAATGGCGTGTCTGTGCACGTCGAGTATACGCACTGTTGCACGCCATTGTCAGCTAAATTATTTGGTCAATGCTTTGGGGCAACCAACCGCAGGCCGGCAGACAAAACCAATATTGGCCAATTAAAGTTGCATTATAAAACAAAACAAAGCCGTTTGCTCACTCGCTTTCGCCCCAATATCAAACGCAGGCACACAGAATATACCAGGACCGCCGGAAGATGTGCATGCGACATTCGTGAACCAGAGCAGCGTCAGTTTGGCCTGGACGCAGCCTGATGTGGATAGTGGCAACAGTAGTAGCGGTGGCAACGCATCGCCAGGTGACTTGATAACCGGCGATGAACTGGCATCTGGTGCCGTGGATCCTGCTGCTGGAAAGGATGTGGCAAATGGCGGCGGCGATGCCACAAGTGGGACAACTGGAACGGAGGATATTGAATTCATCGTGCAATATGGCAAAGTCAATAACATGACCATGTACGAGACAGTTGCCAAATTGGAAAATGTGAGTATATATCGGTTTTGGACAATGGAGCGTCTCTGTCTGCACAAACTTTTCCAGCGCAGAACTATTCCCCCCGCCTTTCCTGCACCTGTGTGAGTTTGGCTAGCAAAAGTTTTTTCTGCCTTTCTTTTTTTTCCGGGGCAGGCCGAGAGACTCAGAGACTCAGAGTCAGAATCAGAATCACACACACACAATGGGACACTTCATTTGCATTGGGGCCTGCGGGCGGTCGCCTTATTACGATTTGCCTTTTGGGCCAAAATGCTGACATTATATATATTCGAGTGCCAATGGAATTGAAAAGAGCTTACAAATTGCCTTGTCTGAGCGCTGGGGCCAGGACAATAACCGTTTCAACAACTTTCCGACCGGGGAGAACTTAAATTGCCAGCAAAGTTAATGAAGAAGTTCGGGGACAGGAAATTGCTTCCATAACAAGCAGTCATATTAGCAGATATTGTGGTCGTTTCGGCACACATGGCGTATGAGCAACGTGAGAGGATAATTGTACAATTAAGCCATCAAGTAGAAGCTGTCTATCTTGATACTAGAATCGTAATGGAAGCATGGGAAATTCGAAGTGTGCGGAGCTTTAGCCACATTTTCTATAAATTAAATGAGATTGGTAAAACATTCCTACATTTAAATTGACAAAATTTTGTGAGTGAAGACTACCGTTCGGCAGAATAAATGTAATGCACATAAATCATTTTTAAAAAATTAAAAAATAAATATGATATTGAATCGGTGACCTGCAGATATGCAATACTGTTTTACTAAGGCTTAATGCAAATTTAAATAAATGCATAACCAGATTTTCTTTTGCTGGATATAGTAAAAAAAATGTATTATTTTATTCAATTTGTTATAAAAAATACGAAATCCCGCCCCAAGGTTATTGTAAACTGAACCTTTTTTCTGCATTAATTTCGCTGAAAATGTCCAAGTGATTTTGCAGTTAAGCCAATTATTCAATTATTTATTTAAATCTTTGGCCATCGGCTAAATCTGACTAAATGGATATATCGATGGCCATTGTTTATCCACCGAATTGAAATCAACTGGATTTTCCCCAAAACTCCCAGAGAATTTCAAGTGCAGCTCTCTGTAACCAAAATGTTCTATGTAAATATATATATTTTAAAATATATATACACCCAGGCCGATAGTTTTGGTTGGCCAACGCTAATCCAATTCAGTGTAATAATCTTTGAACTCTGTCCAAAACATCGATTGAAGGGGGGTTTTTGGCCAGGCTTAGATATGTGTAGAGCTATGGGTAAAGTTTTTGACGCCTTTTCAACTGAAGGGGGCGGGGTCTGGGGGACTTATGGCCGCCATATGCATTGCCAACGTGCAAAACGTGACTATAAACTGGTAAAAATTGCAGCCGATCCGCAACGAAAAAAAAAAGTAGATGATGAAAAAATGAAAAAGAGTAACCAAAACCAAACAACGGACCAAAGTTGGCTCTGGCTTTGCCATTGGCATTGTTGTAATTGTTGGTGTTGCAATTTTGTTGTTCTTGTTGCAATGTTTTGTTGTTGTGTTTGCTATTTTGTTGCATTTGTTGTTGTAGTTATTGGCCGTTGTTGTCACACATCAACGCGCTTTGCTGGCAGCTGGGCCTGGTTGATTTTGCTGTTGTTGGTGTTGCTGCTGCTGTTGTTGCTTCGACTGCAGCATCAGCCATGGCCATCAACAGAGTTATTGGCCTCGAAAAACTTGCAAATGCTAAAAAATACAGCAATACGGCAACAACAAAGGCCCGGCAAGAGTTTGTCGCGTGTTGATGCGCACAGAAATGTATTTAAAGTGGGGTCGGTGTTGCTGATGTTGCTGTTGGCATTGCTGTTGCCGGTGGTGCTGTTGTTGCTGCTGCTGCTGCTGGGGCCATTGCAACCTGTCGTCGCCGACCTGCCAATGATGCTCCAGCAGCAGCAGCGACTCGATGGGAGCTGATCCCGTGATTTTAATTATTTAAAAATTAAATTAAATATTCACAAGTTGATTTGAATGGTTGATTTGTTCTTAAATATTTTTTTTATTTATGCCATGCAACAAATGCTTTTAATGTTAAGGGCTGCTTATAAAAAAAAACTTTAAAATTCCAAATCATCATTTTACTCTTGTGAAAACCAAAAACCTTGTATTCGGTTACTTTCTATTTATTTGATTCATCGCTATTCGTTCGATTAAATATGAATGATTGATCATGAGGTGGGAATCACAGTTTCTATTGACAGCTGGTCAAAAAAAAACCCCCGCAGCCATCGTGACAGAATCTTTCGTCACGTGAGCAACTCTACAGCTGAAAACCAATCGATATGGAAGATACTGTGCGGCGTCAGCTTTGGTTCGAATTTTTTTCTTATATTCTGAGCTGTTTTTTGTTGATTGTGTTGTGGAAAATTCATTCGCCCTGTTGGTTGCTTATTTTTTCGCTACCCCATCCTTTTTTTTACTTCATGTTTTTGTTTTATTTTCACTTGCTTTGGTCAGCAGGGCACGCAGCTGTTGCGGTGATGCTGTTGCTGTTGCTTTTGCTGTTGGCTTAACTTGGGGCTGGCTTCGGCTTGGCTTAAATGCTTTTCAGTTTTGCCGTTTTTGCGGTGCCACCATCACCATCGCCCGTTGGTGTCAAACGGTTTAAACGCGCCCCGCGACCCCAGCTGAATGGGTTATTGTATCGCACATAGCACATCGCACATAGCACATCGCACTTCGCACTTCGCTCGAATATATATCTATAAGTTCGTGGCTATCGGCGCAGTTCCCCAGCATCCAACAGCCAGCAGCCTGCAATGCGTTGACTCAGTGTGACACTTTTATGGACAAACTTAATTGCTTTTGGACGTGTCAGAAATATATGCAGAGGAAGGGGTTGCTACAACATCATTGGGCAACAAACCGCTGGGCCAAGACTAATGGCTTAAACTAGCAATCGCCGTTCCACCCGATATTTAAAGGTAATTCCGCCGGCAGCCCGCTGTGTTTTTCTGCAACCCTTCCTGATTGAATCAGTGCCAATAATTTGGCAATTTCTATTCGTCGCCAATGCACGGCCGGCATTGTGTCACCAGCAGCATCAGCAACAAACAGCCCCACAAAAACATTATTCGAATCTACAGGATATTACATACCATCAGGAGGGAGGACGAGGGACGGGGGCCTTCGGGAAAAGCGGAAATAAAAGGTTTTCCTTTCCACAGTCGCTGCTTTCGAATGATTCTCCTCTGTTGACTCTGGCCGAAAACGAACGTAACTTTTGTGATGATTTTTAGTGCCGCCGCTCTGCGTTAGTTGGCGTTGGACTTTTATTCCTATTTGTGTTTGTGTTTGCCAAACACACGGCCATAAAAAACTTTTTAATATAGCCAGCAACACTGAGGAGTAAAAAATAGGCGAAATAAGGGAAGGGACTGACCACGATGCCAGAAATTAGACACATTAAATATTCTGATACAGCTGTGAAGAAGCCAAAGGGGTTTGGGCCACGGCGATTATGTGCTTTGTCACTGCAGTCGACTTCGGGCCAAGACAACTGGTAAATGAGCGACCAGGGACCTAGTTTTATGGCCGGAATGTGACTCCCGTTAAGGGGAAGGACTTCAGATACACCAGATATACACTGGAAACACAGAACGCTTTAGGAATATGAGATAAGCTAATAATTAAATTTTAAAAAGCGTACATAGGCATACACAAAAATTACAGAATTCTTGTTACTTTTAAATTTAAATTCGCAAAAGTAATGTACGCCTACAAAACTAACTCAGAAATTTTAAAATATTATTAAATACATATAATTAAATATTTAATTAAAACAGTAAAGGCGAAAAATTTGAAAATTTTGTATATAATTTTGCACATTATTTATTTAAATTCCTCACAGTATTTTATAAATTTAAAATAAATACATCTCTGTTTTAGTTTCATCTTAAATTTCTGTTAGTGCAATAGCTAAGTAGCCAAGGACATCGCGCTATGCATTTTGAGCAGCTATTCGCTCAAGTAGTTGCTAGGGACTCACCTCGATTTCTGGGAGGTAACCCCATTAATTATTCAGTTAGGACCAGCTCGTCATGCCAATTGTGGCACATTTAAGTTGCGGTTAATGTAATTACGAAGGGGGACTCCGAACTGAAAGAGCAAAGCAAAAAGCGACTCACACAGGACACACGCCCAACTAAAAGTCCTTTGGCTGCTATTAGTGTTGCCCTTTTTTTTGGGTTTTTTTCTGTAGGGGCTGTCGAGAGCATAATAAATCGTTTTTCCCTCTTTGCCTTGACAATCTTTTCGGGCTTTGAATTTAATGCGTTTTAGATAAGTTTCTAATGGAAGGAAATTAGTATTGAGCCGGGCAATTTATTCTCTCGGGCTGTGGTCACTAAATTCTAGTTAGTTTATCGGAGACTACCTGTGTCAAATGGAAGTCTCTATCTCTGACTTTAACCCCCATCTCACCGTCTCTGTTTCGGACGGGTTCTGGGGTTAAAATGGGTCCGTTGCTCATGGCATCTCATATTTGACACAAGTTGTCACAGGCAGGGCGAGGCGAACCCCCCGCAAATTGAGATTTACGACTTGACCCGGGCTTGGCCAAAAAATAAAACATCTAACCATAAGCGAGATGAACCTCCGTACATATTTAGTGATGTTGGCCAAACTGGCTCCACGAACAGATGTCCAACATCGCTCTGACATTGACTTACATACTCAAAATGACTCGTTTCGCCGGATAAGCTCGTCGAGTGTCGCCGGGGGGCGGCGTTTGGAGGGGGGCGTGGCACTCAAATCAAATAATTTTAGCGCATTGCCAGCACTAAGTAGCTGAAATAACAAACTCCGCTCCCCGATGATGGCGATGATGTTGATGATGATGATGCTGCTGCTGCCAGGCTGCTGATAAAAACAAGTTAATGCTGCCCCCCAGAACTGACTTTGCTTTAAAAACGAACAACGCGCGACCATAAAACGAAATAAATTACTTAACGCGCCGCATTTTTTCGCACTGGCACTGGCCAAAAATGCAATTAAAGGCCAAAAACCGCACCGCGACTGCGACATCTGCAAGAGATTAAAAAACGAAAGAGAGCGAAACAACAGAGCAGCAACATCAGCACAGCAGCAACATCATCACGGCAGCAACATCAACGCAGCGGCAACATCAGGCAGCCAAGCGATTCAGTGTGTAAATGATTGAGTTGGTTTTGAGATAGTAGGAATTCCGAATTCCAGAATATTTTGTAGTTAAAGACTTCATCAGTTTTAGAACCTACATTTAGTGTTGATGTCATTAAAAATTGTACTTCACTTTATAGGAAAGTTAAAATTCTTATAAGAACTTTGAAGTGTAATGTTTTCCATTTATTAAAATACAAATAATTTGTTTAACTATTAAAATGTAAAAGAAAAATGTAGATAGAATAAATTTAAAAAGATTTCTTTATTCATTGAGAAGTTAATGTTATTGTAATTCTCTCTGCAGATATTGTACATTTTAAATTCGAACCCTTTTGCCGCACAATTCACACAGGGCATCTATCTGTCCCCGAAGCTGTAACTCCAACAGATTACGCTAACGGGTTTTAATGTGGATTTGCACCAAGTGGGCTTTGGAGTGGAGTCACATGGGGTGTTTTTGGGGTTGTTTGTCCTCTGACCCCGGGAAAGCTTCATGCATAGACCAGCGTCCGAGATATAGCCGTCAATTTCGAGGATGGCTTTTGAAACAAAATAACGCCAGTGCGGACAGCGGGGACATGGAACTGGACCCGAATCGCAGATAGCGATAGGGACCAGCAGAGAAGTCCGATGAGTTGAACGACTGCCACAATGGCATTCTGCGAATGACTCTGATGATGATGCAGCTGGTTGGACGATGGAGAACACAGGGTGTGGTGTCATTTGACGGGCTAAATACCACAAATTGCGCTGCGTGGCAGCAATTACAAAAAGTACTAATCATGGCGACATGTCTTTCAGCGAAATCAAGCCAAACCACAGCCAAGAGCAGACGACAGCAAAAAAGACTGAAACATTTTTTTTTAGTCGTTTAATGGGCACTCGAGAAGTCTCAATAAAGGGAGGAATAATTAAGGGGTTAATTGGGAAATTGAATATTGAATATTTAGTACCGAATTTTTTAGTTTTCTTTTATTTTTTAATTAAAATATATTTTTAACCAACCAAAAATCTGAAATATTATTTTTAAGAAACTGAAATATTGTTGACTTTTATCAAGAAGTTAAATATTTTAAAATTATTATATCTCTCTCCGAACTTGGGTACTTCCAAAGTCGAACCTTTTTTGCACCATATGCTTTGATTTCACTTCATTCATAGCTATTTTCCCACATTTTTTTCTCGTTCTCGTTAACGTCTGCTATTCGCATGCAATTATACACTTAGGAATTGACCACCAATGAGACGAGTATCGATTTGACCAATTTGGATGCGAATGCCTTGTACCGCATTACGGTTGTGACGCGCGGCAAATTTGGCACATCGCTGCCGGCATCCATGCTCTTGCTGAATACAACGGACCAACAACGGGCCAGCGAAGGTGAGTTGGCCAACTCGACTCCAAAATGAGTTGATTTAATTGTTGTGCGGTCCGTCTGTTTTGCTAAGTGTGTGCTTTTGCTATGTGCTTTGCAGCGCGGGGGAGGGCGTGGCCTGGGGCGCCCCCTCACCGCCCCACTCGCTGACGGTGGTGGCCCACAGTGCCACCTGGATGCAGCTCACCTGGCAGCCGCCCGAGTACGCCCATCCGCATGAGAGGATTACGTACAGGTGAGCAAGGGGATCAAGACTGAAGAGCAGGAATTAAAAAAAATGAAGCTGGGATTTGAACAAATATTGAGCTCTATATTTAACAATCATTTTTAAAGATCTTAATTTTTAAGAAATAAAATAAGAGCGATTTGTTAATAATTTAGTTTTGTAATCGAATATTTGTTTTAATTTTTCCAAAAGTCTGATTTTTTTTAGTCCATCATTGATTTACTTCAGATTGTTTTAAATAATTTTTTTTTGAAGATGTTTTCTCCAGTCTAAATTGTAAAATATTTCTAAGATCTTAACTTTTTTACAATATTAAAATTTAAATTTTTTAAGATTTTTCGTTTTTTTTTTTTTTTTTACTAAATTTTGTTACGAAACCTTTTTAGATTTATCCTAAAAATTAAATTCAAATTATAAATATTTAATCAATTATTTGATTATAAAAAACTTTTAATACCTTTATTAAAATTCTTAAATGGTATTATATCCGATCTTAAGTAGCTTTATAGATATTCTTTAAGGAAGCAATTTGTAGCGCTCTGTTTGGCTCGGTATCTTAACCATTACTTCTCCCCCGCAGAGTCTACCACAAGGCCATGAGGGCCGAGCAATTCATAAAGATTGAAACGAAGCTCGCCTGGCTGCGGATGAACAACCTGAAGCCGAGCTCCCAGCATGTGCTCTACGTGGAGGCTGTGGGCGAACGGGGCGACTCGCTGCCCTCCGAGACATTAGTGGCCTGGACGGATCCCGCCCTGCCCGCCTTCGTGGATGTGAGTGCTCCACCTCAGACTCGACTACATGTCTATTTTCGGGGTAACTGAGGTGTACTCTACTCTTGCAGCCCCCCACTGTGCATCCGGCGGACAACATCCCGGAGGGCGGTTCCATGACTATCCTCTGTCTGGCCCTGGGCAACCCGGCGCCCACCATCTCGCTCTACGTGGGAGGACATCTGGTGCGGCAGGACACCTCGCGGCACATGGTCACGGTCATTCACAATGTGTCGGCCGACATGGAGCACGTCTCGTGCTATGCGGACAACGGATACGGAGTGCCCATGCAGGCCACCAGGAGGGTTAACATATGCTGTAAGTAATGCAATTCGGGTTAATTCGCTTAGCTGCCTTATAGTGTCAAGAGCTCTTCTTCAAAATAAGCTGAAAACTTTAAGAAAATATTCAAAATTCTGGAGAATTAAAATAATTTAATTGTATTTAAAGACATTAATATTATTTCAAGAAAATTGAAACCTAAATTAACACTTCTTTAAATTTCTTTAAAAATAGATCAATGAAATATTCCTAAAATTTACACTTAAAATAATTAATAAGTTTAATTTCTTGATTTTCGCATGCTTTTGAGGAGGTTTTTAAAAATACAGCAAGGAGATTGGGTTATTATTAAGTACATATATGCAGCTAGGCTAAAATCGCACTTCGTATCATATTAGTTAATAAATTCTCATTTTTATCCCATCAGATCCTCCGAAAATCCAAGCAGCTGGCATTACCGTGGCCAGCATTGGCGATGAGATCGAACTGCGTTGTACTGTCGACTCCAAGCCGGCGCCCAAGACAATTTTCTGGAGGGAAAAGGATGGCAGGGTGCCAGTCATAAATGGCGGCAACTACTTTATATCCGTTAAGGCCAATGAATCCCGGCCCTCGATATATACGATGTCGTTAAGGATCAGCAAGCTGCAGGCCAACGATGTCGGTGATTATTTCTGCCATGCGGATAATCCCTTTGGGGCCACCACCGTGCCGGTATCGGTGCGTATACGCAATACGCCGGCGCTCAATCACAACGTTTCCCAGTGCTGTGCCGAGCAAAATGTGACGATGGCCTGTCGCAGTGCCTGCAGCTATTATGTGGACTTTGATGCCATCGCGGATCGACCCGAGTGCATTGTGGACTTTGACAAGCTGATGAGATGTGCCGCCGATGGCTCAGATCATCGGTCCTGCTGTGCGGATGAGCATGTGCCCAGAAAGTGTCTGAATTGGTGTCGCGGGGAATCGGTGCGATCCAAGGAGATCTGCAGCTTGCAGTACGCTCGCACCATCGTGGGTTGCTTTGAGAAGAATCGCGATCGATTGCCGGGACCACCGGAGAACATTGTGGTCAGTGTGGTATCGGGCAGCGAAGTGAATATAAGGTGAGTTTGATATTTAAAATAATTATTTATATCAGTGACCTGTAGAAAATAATTTTGATAAATTAGTAAATTTGCTAAGTGTCCAGAAAAATTAAAAAAAAAACTTTGCCATGCTTTAATTTATTTTCAAAGTTTGTTAAGAGTTTTATTTTTTTCCTATTTACATCTCAAATTATTAATAAACTTAGTCTAAAAATTTTTTTTTTTCTGTGTTTTCGTCTTTTATATTTAAAATACTTCTTAATTTTATCACAATTTGAACAGTTTTTTATTTTATTATTAGTAAAACCAAAATCACTTAGAGTAACAATTTCGTCATCTCTCAAACTTAATAAAATCTATTTTTGTCGAGTGTCCTACCTAAACAAAGTTTAACCGAGCAGAAGCCATTTGGCTTTAAGCCCCCAAACTATGTGGGACACGTTTCAACCCCTCGGCTAAGCTCTTAAACACTTTTGTCCGAAGCGGAAGTAGACTCATCCATTTAGCGCTCCAAACCCAATACATTCCTTATCCTTCTCTGCGCCACACATCCTCTCGTGTGGCTGTGTGTGTGTGTTTGCGAGGGTGAGTGTGTGGGGCTGGGCCACTAATAGACCGCAAATCCATTAAAGCTGAGATTTTTTATCTCACTTTAATACACTCGGTCAACGTCAAAGGTTGATGAGGGCTGCGGACCCCTGAAACTGATGCCGCATTAAATTTATTAAAATTCCAAACAAGTTGTGCGCCTGCAACAATATTACTACCGAGCACTCATAATGCGGCGCCGTCGTCGTCGTCGTAGTCTCTATCTCTTTCCCCATGAAAACTAAACTATTTCATTACAGATGGGATGCGCCGACAAAGAATCCAAATGCCGTTGACGGCTATAGAATATTTTACCACGAGGCCGCCGCTATGCCGCCAACATCGAGTTCGAGTTCGGGTTCCGGCTCCTCGGATCCCAGTTCAGCGATGGAGAACCACGGCATGGATACCCTGGCCGCCATGAATAATGCAACAAGTATGGGCGGCGGCAGCAACAACGCGATGGCAGCCCTCGAGATACGACGCATCGACGTAAAGGACACAACAATAAGCATTAATGGCCTCAAGAAGGATGTGCTCTACGAGTTGGTGGTGAAGGCTGGCAATAGCTACGGTAAGATTACTCGCAAGGCGAAGGAGTCCTGGCCGGATTTTAATTTGCCGGCTTGTCTTGCAGGTGCCAGCGTGCTCACAGATCCGATTAGGTTCACGCTCGGCGACCACAATGATGTGGTGGCCGCCGGAGGCTACTCGAGAGTCGTGGGCACCATCAGCGGCATTGTGGCAAGCATTTTGGCCATTCTGCTGGCGGCGGCGGCCATTGTGTTCTATCGCCGGCAGCGCTCCAGCTACGGAAAGTCCGCCAACGGCAATGTGGCGTTCGAGAATCCCACCTACACCAGGGGCCTCGAACAGGTGCAGGTGTGTACAACGATCGATTGCCTTTTTTTTATATCATCCTTTTCCCTTTTTCGGAGAGGGTATCTGGAGGGCCTAAGGGTATATAAGATGTGAAATATTAGTATCGACTAGTAAAGGGCTATCAAATGGCCATTAGTCAACAGCTTCAGGGGAAAAATAATAATTTTATAACGTACTTCTTAAATTAAAAAACTTTTTAAACAAAACAAAATTTTTAGTAAAATTGTAATATACTTTTTTTAGTTCAAAAAAAAAAATTGGGAATTTTTATGAAAATTGGGTTTTACGAAATACTTAAATTTGTAGATATGATACCTAAAATGTTAAGATCTTTATTTTAACTAATTCAAACCCATTGTTTATTTTTTCATTAATTATAAAATAAATAGTTTGAAAAAGGTCTATAACAGTAAACCTATCTAAGTCCCTAAAGTGTACAAAGCTTTTAATTTCCTTCAACCAAATTTAGTAATGGGTATTATATGGCCGGCTCTCCGCCGACTATTGTCACCCCACCCGTATTGCTATTTTCGTGGCGGAAAAAGTTTATTTAGTGATATGATAGTTGTATGCTTTTGTAGGCGTGTATTTACTTGTTTTTTTTTGGTGTTATGTATGTTATAACTGTCAATGTCTTTTTCTACCCCCCCTCTAACCGACACATCGACACCCGGACATGAACATTTATGAACGGCCATAGCTACCCACTGTCACGTCAGCCATCACGACGCAAAATGGCAACCACCATGGGATGAGCAGCAGCAACAACAACGGCGGCAGTCACAGTCATGGTCGTAATGGCATTGCCGCCACAATGACGACATCCACAACGACAACGGCCCCGACGGCAGCGGCATCGGCCACCTCGGCAGGTGTCACACTCGCGGGGAACAAGCAGCAGCAGCAGCAGCACCACCAGCAGCAGCAACATCAACAGCAGCAACATCAGCAGCAGCAGCAGCAACACAAGAGTGCGGCAGATGCGGCGCATCACTTTCATAGCCCGCTCAGCAATACGCAGTGCAATGAAGTAAATCCCACAATTTATGAAGAGCTCAAACTTGGCCAAGAAGGTGCTGGATTTAAGAAACTTGTGCCATAAACGTAGCACAATAATAATAACAACCACAGAGACAGACAAAAACAACAGCAACACATGAACACATGACAACAAAAACATGAACGAAAACAAACCAAGTATAGCTAGCGAACTTATATATATATATATAAACTATATATATATAGAAATATATACGCTAAATGTAGACATAGGCCGTGTAAACAGCGCGAAGCGCAACCTCAAACAACACACACACTCACACAAACAAAAACAAAAACACAGACACTGACAAATACAAGCACACACTCACGCACACGTAGACAGTGTGTACTGTGACATCTTTACAGAATGCATTGCGAGAAAAAAAGTTGGGTAACATAAATTTTTGCTTGCAAAAATCTTTTGGGTAGCGTGTAATAAGTAATAAATTTTTAGTATGTAACTGTGATTCAACCAGAAAAAAAACAAAACAAAAACGATGTAAAATAATTAACTAATTGGTAATGAAAGTAAGCAAAACTGAAAACTGATTGAGAAAAAATACCAATGATTAGTAAAAATCTATATATGCTAAATTTGTTTTCATCTTGGCTTCAGTTGGGGCTAGAACGCTTGAAATGGTCTGAAAGTTGTGGTAAAATATTGCTTTTTATTTCTTAATTAGTCTTTGCTCTAGTTTCTGTTTGAAGTATAAATTTTGAGTCATAATGTAAAAAATTCAGAATGTTTCGAAAGAAAAGAAAATTATTTATCGTATATTATGAATTTGTTTTTTTGTTTTAAAACAAATCTTAAAAAATATTTTAATATTTCGGCTGTTATTATATTCAGAATTTTTTAATTTTTAATTTTCTTCAGCTAGTGCCTTTTCCTTTTTTTTCCCCTAGTGTATGTAAACAACGGTAGAGTACAATATTAAAAGATGCCTGTGTACGTCCGGGCCTTCCTGAGCCTCAACCTTCGTCGCTCCCCCTCCCTCACCTCATCCTCATGTTTACGCCTTCCTCGGTGCTTCTCATTTTGATGAGGGCGAAGATGGAAGCTCCGTTCGCCTCATGCCGTCAGATGTTTGCTCGTGTAATGTTGCATACGTTATGGCGACTAGCACACATACACGCTTGTACCTCTTCAAACACACGCACACACTGGCATTATTAGCAAAAGGACGCATCCGCATCCGATGGAGGAGAAAACAGCCAGCGATATGCGCACAAAGTTTAACTTTCATATGTAAATTCCCTTTTATTACGAGTACAATATCCGAAAGAGATAGAGAGGCGCCTGATGGAGGAGTTTTGCTGCCGCTCGACATGATACACTCATAATCCGTTATGATCTGATACTGATACGGATGATGCCATCATAGTGACAGCCTGTGCCACCAGAGATTATTATAATTTAGTTACTAGCTTCAGCGGCCCCTGCGACGACACTTGTGCGCCATTCTTTATGAAAAATAAGCAAAAGCGAAGGCGGAAAGTGAAATCTGGCAGATTTTTCGTATGATTGGAGCAAAGCGTGTAAACAGCGATAGAGTAAACTTCATAAATGTCAAACAACGGAAGGCTTAAAATGCCTGAGCATTATTACATATAAGCGGCATCCCATCCATTCAATTTTAACACATAGAAAAAAAATTCTAAGTATATTGCTCTCATTATAATCCTTACTACGTAAAGTCAAACTAAAGATAATCTAATTCTGATGCTGGTCAGAAACGACTGACTAAAATTGAAACAGACTATTTAAAATATTTTATTAATTTATAGACATTTCTTAACATTACTTATCTATTTATTAGCAGTCTGTTTTACAAGTTATTATTTTTTTTCCTAAAATTTAGAGACATTTAGAGGCATTTTAAATTAAAGTTGTGTAGTCCTATATTATTTAAAAAACCTTTTTAACCTAAAATAATATTAAAATAGTTTTTGAAATCGAGTATGAAAATATTGAAGTTTTTTTAACTTTATTTCAATGTTTATCTCATACTAATATTTCAGGAGACTTTGACGATATTTTCCCACTGCATGGGCATCCTTCTCCTTTCAAATTCCACTTTAATAAGTAAGCAGGAGCCGAGAGTTCAGTCGAGCTCATCAAAATGTTGCAGCAGCTCTTGAGCAACTTCCGTTTTTTGATCTGCTGATGGTTTGCTGAAAACGCTGGCAGAGTGCAATGGCTCTGAATAAACGCCGCCTGAATTATGCAACACGTTTGTGCCCCAAACACACACACACGTGCACCGAAACCCCTGAATCTTTTGTGCATTTTTGTTTACTCAACAGCAGAAGGTTCTTGGTTGGAAGGCTGCAGCTGTAGATGCTGATAAAACTGTTGACAGTCGCCAGATAAAACCGAAAATTTACAAGTAAATGATATTGTCTGGTAACCAGCTGCCCACTTTGTGGCTGATTGCACTTTGCCTCGGTCGTGGAGTGTCCTTGTCTAAGGGGAACACCTGTTTACCTTCGTCCTGCGATGGCTATAATGAGTTTTTCGCTGCAACTTTCTTGTTATGCATAAATAATAGAAATCTATTGATGAATATAGTTGCCGGAGGGAAAGTTGCAAAGTGTCGTCAAAGGAAAATTAAGATATTCAAATGAGGGTGTACATAATAGAGGAAGTAAGAAAACATTGTAGTCAAAGTTTCATAAAAAGCTTACAAAATTATAAATATTTATATGGAAAATGTAATATTTTACCACTAAACAACATTTAAAATTTATTGATATTGATATTGATTTTAATTAACCCCACATTATAAATCATATACCAAGAATAAACAAGAAAAAATCATTATAAAAGTTATCCAAAAAAACCTCTTAAAATATATTTCATCATATATATTTTTACCAGAGCTTCAAAACAAAACGGAGTCCATTTAATTTTCATATACGCTCGTATATCGCATACATTGTCTATTCCCAGTTACTTCACATGCTCTCAAATATTGGTTGTCAGGCAATAACTTCAAACAGATATGACATAATAGATTTAGATAGAAAAGCTATTTTAAAATTTAGATCCATCCGAGAATCACAAATGAAATGAAAGCAATACCGATGGATGGGGACATAAAAGCCAATTTCACAGTATGCCAAGTGATTTATTGAGACAGAGAGCTCACCTCCTCTTTGGTCCCCGGCCCTTCGCTGTGCTATGTAGAGCGGCAGCTTTTATTTATCGCTAAACTAATAAATCTTGGCATAAAAATGGAAAATATTGTATACGCCATGTTGTGCCGAGTCCTGAATCGACGGCTAGGAAAAAATAGAGGCCATAGTCAAGGCAAAAACTCATAAGTGGCAGCGGTTAAAGCCGTGGCCACAAAAAACTTATCCACATATAAATTTCATATTAAATAATGGTTTAATGATTTTATTTGTTTATTTGTTTCCGGCCTCCAAACAATTAACTCTAACGAACTGCAAACTACACAAAATAAAAACGCCTTCCGAAAACGCAAACGAAAATAATAATGATCGTAAAAAATTCACAGACACGCTGCGTGTCAAAGTACAATGGGTGAGTGCCGGCAATATTAATTTTTTAACGTTCTTGTCCTACAAAATTTTATTGGGGATTGCTTCCCTTTTCGACTTTATTCCTTGCTCGTTTGCTTTATGATTATTACTTGATGTTTGCCTGGGTGGAATTATATTTTATGAATTTTTACAGCTTCCGAGGCGATCACAAATCAGTTTTCTTACACTTATATTTTTTGCATATTCCCGGTGCCTTCTTTTTGGGGTCGTGCGTTGCGAAGGCCTTCGAGTTTTAATTGCCAAAGCGTGGACAGGCAGGTTGTCGCCTTCGTCCTGCCACAGGACCTGTGTGGAAATCAGCCACAGGAGCAGCACAAAATTTGGGTTTAATGGCATTGCGTGAGTTTAGCGCATTGGGGAAGAAATGCAGAACAGAAAAGAGCAGATCGCACACGTAAGTACTGCTCTAAAATAATACTTATATTTATATTTATGTCTGCCTGTTTGTTCGGCACTTTTTTACACAACACAAACACTATGGTACTTGTAATAACAATTAACAATTAACTTTTTATGGGGTCATGCATGTTGTTGGACATATAATAAATGTTTGTTAATGCCACCTATCGATTCTGTTATTTTTTATCCCACTCCCCGCGTGCTAATTATATAATTCACCGACGCATATGGCTGCCGTTAATATTATTGTTGTAAATATGAGGCATTAATGTAAATAAATGGGGCAGTTGGGTGGGTGGGCGTTGACTTAAATCAGTCGTAAGGCATAAGCTCACATCCGTATTAACGTATAAATCGATGGTTCTGCGAGTGCGGTAAGTATGCTTCAACATACAATACATTCTTGTTGATTTTATTGCCAGTGCTCCAGTAATTCCCGCTCATGTGTGTGGACTGCGGGCTCAAGGGATGCTTCACTTGGCCGGCGTTATGTTAATTGAGCCTGATTGACCCTTGTGCTCATCTGATGGAATCGTTAATCCGAAATGTTCTGTAATAAAAGCGACAGAATTTCCCGGAATTTACCCATATATTTTTTGGGATAAAAATCATAGATATCATATAAACTAGTGAAATGAAAATATTTTTAATTTATAAATAAGAATAAAATAATAAAATTTATAACTAAAATACATTTTTGGGAGATGCCATTTAGTAAATAGATTTCTTTTTATTTAATTTCTCAAATATTAAAAATATGTTATTTACAAAAGTAGACACACTGCATTATGGTTTAGCACATCCTTTTGTTGTTATTTGCTTAAGCATTTCATAATTAAACCAAATTGCAGAAAATTTCGAGAAAATTCCGTTAGCAATTAGGGGCTGCCAAAGAAATTCCTTAATTTAATGAAGACATTCTGGCACACCATCAGAAGGAAAACAGATGGCCAGACCAGGAGACCATTTAAGCTCAACCACCTAATGAACGACATCTGGCTGGTGACCACAAATGGCCTGGCCCAAGATGCATTAACCAAAGATGTGCCGAGGCATTTCCAAGTGAACGCCACGCGGCGTATGCGTAATGTTACACTCAACAGTCGGCAGAGAACATCTGCCTTTTACCCTTTTGGCAGTGCGATGTGTCAAAAGACAGAACGAGAACCGCAGGTGCGGTGTTCCCTGCTCTCTGGTTTTTGTGTGTATGTTTTTGTGGAGGGGGAGGCGGAGGCCCAAGAGGAGGGAGGGCGGCTCAAGCGTTTTTGCATACTGTAACTGTACGAGTAACAACATGCACACGGGGGCAAACATTTTTGTAAACACAGTTTACAGTGCGGTTAACAAATATTCATGGCGCACACGGCGTATGAGTGTTGCCCTCGTGGCACTTGATAAAACGCGAACACTTTGGTCCACGGGGAGGCGGCTCGTGGTGGAAAACAGCAAAAAGCCAACAGAGAGTAGGACGGTCGCTGGTTGGGGGAGGTGACCGGGTGATGAGACAAACAAAATATAAAGGAAAGCCCGAAACACTTCATTATACTTTCTAATTTTGCCTTTATCGCTGCTGGTTTCTGCTGGCATCTTTCTGTCACATTAATGTACATTGCTGGGCGATGGAG